TGGCTTAGTTTTCAAGTTATTAATTAATACCCGATAATTTGGATTTTTCCCCATAGTGCAATGCAGCTGTATATATATATTGTGTATGTGTGTGCGTGTGTGTGTGTGTGTGTGCTTGTGCGTGTGTATTAAATCAAATCGAAATGACTTTCGTACTCTATCAATGTCGAAATTATGCAATAACTTCAATTGATTACGAGTGCGTGAGTAATTTAGTACAACCAGAGCATATGACTGTATGTGTGCGTGTGTGTGAGTGTGTATATATCGGCAATCAGTGGCACCCTTGTACGATACTGGGTCCTATACACGAGGACAGTAAAACGTTTAAAGTGTCATGTTGCGGCCTGTGACGCTTTGCTGCCTCGTTACGCGGCACTTGGCTGCCTTTTCTTACTTTATTATTATTTGCTGTTGTTGTTGTTGGTGCTGTTGCTGTTGCTGTTGCTGTTACTGTTTGCTTTGACAACCCACTTACTTAGATAGACGGGCCACCTGTCCCGTTGTTGTCCTGGCTTCTGTAAGCAAATCGCACGCATCGACATGGCTGAGAGCAAAAACCCTTCAACTTGGCTTGGTCGACGTCTTGCCACCGCTGCTGCTCCTGCTGTCGATGCTACTCTTGCTGCCGCTTCTGCTGCCGCTGCTTCTGGTGCTACCGCTGTTATCTGGCTGCTTAGCTGATGGCTCCTGGTATTTGCCTTGGCTCAGGGCCCGCATGTGTTCGCCATATCCAGTTAAAAGGATAATGGAGCACAACAATTTTTACACGCATATATTTTACAAATATTTGCATTTTTGCCTGGCTGCCTGGCTGCCTGTCAACTGAGCCAACAGGACATGGCCAGGATACCAAAAGGGGCGAGCTTGCCTCGGCTATGGAGCACATAACTTTGGCGTACCTTTTGCATTGCTTCTTTTCAAGACACATTTGCGTCGTACTTTTTGTTGCCGCTCGGGTTTTAGGCCTGAAAAGTCTCAACTGCACATAAAGGGATTGAGTACGTGTGTGTGTGCCTCAGCGTGTGTGTGTGTGTGCGTGTGCGAGCAAGGGATTTAGTATGTCCTCTGCTAAAGACTGTGCTTTGTAACACATTCACAATTTCGCCAAGTGCGCGCTACGATCGCATTAAACGCTCCTTATACGCCACTCAATACGATCACAGAAATCAGATTATGACTTTTTATGAACACCAAACTATATACAAGTTATATGCAATTTATGACAAAGCATTGATGTGTGAGTGCATACCAAAAGAAAAGGAAAATTTTAGAAAAAAAGTATTTTAAATAGATTTATATAGTAGTTATTTTATTGGTTCAGGCTAAATATTGAGCTTATTTAATACTCAAATGTATTGAAAAAATGAATAAAAGTCATAGAATTTATAAATTTGTTAGTTAATAAAAATAAACGAAGTATATCATATCATTGTTACTCGGGATTAGTCGTAAGTCCTCCAAGCGACATGAAGAGTTCGAGGGCCGCCTTTCGCATGACCTTGCCATTGTTATTGAAGGGCAGCCTTTCAGTGAATCGAACTCCTCCATGCAGCTGCTTATTAATGGTGGGCAGACGCTTGGCCACATGATTCACAATATCGTCGTGACTAATGTCGCGGCCTGGTACCTTGACCACCAAGGCAGCGGCTGCATCCATAATTACCTCAACGGGCACGCCCACAACGCAGACATCGCGCACCTGCGGCAGCTCTCGGATCACATTCTCGATTTCGGTGGGCCAGAAGTGAATGCCTTTGTATTTGAGAACCTCCTTCTTGCGATCTACGACATGCAGCAGATTGTCGTCACTGAAGTAGCCCAAGTCTCCTGTATGGATCCAACCCTCTGGGTCCAAAATTTCCATCGTGGCAGTGGGATTGCCGTAGTAGCCATTCCATTTGATGGCGGAATTCACATAGATCTCACCGATCTCATTGTGACCCAGGCTATTTTCATTCTCATCCACGATGCGTATGGTCATGCCGGGCATCGGCTTGCCTGCAGCTGACGCTTTCTGGACACCGGCATTAAGTGTAATCAATCCCAGCTCTGTCATCGCGTAGGCTGAGTTAAACGTTGCATTCGGGCAGAGCTCCCGCAAACGTTTTAGAGTCGCATCCGAAGCAATGCTACCGCCATAGTTTAAGTTACGCAACGAGGATAATGCGCTCTGCGTGACCTTTGGACAACTGGCTAGAGCTGCCATCTGGGATGGTGCCATGGTTATATAATTTATTTTGTATTTCTGTATCAACTGGACAATGTTTTCCGGCGAAAAGGGCTTATTCGATAAGATGCGAGTGCTTCCATATACCACACTGAACATGAAAGCCCACAGTCCAGTAAGCCAATCCAGACCACTCTGAATGAAAAAAATCGTTTCGCTGTTGACAAACCTGAAATTCGCAAAATTTTCGATGATGTGATGAGATTGTACAGCGCACTTAAATTTCAAATTATATTTGAGATTAACTTACAAATTATCCTGCATGAGCACACTGTTTGATATGCACACGGCCTTTGGCATTCCCGTAGTACCGGATGAGCACAGAATGGCCACAGTTTGATCGCTGCCAGCTTTCAGGGGCTCAGGACTGTGAATACGATAATCTCAGCTCTGTGAATCTATTCGCTATCGATGACTCTTGATTGACACTCACTGGTAGAACTTTTCCGTTGTCGTTGGCTCCAACAGACTCTGTATGCTGGGCTTACCTTTCAGGGGTTCGCTGATCGTGTATACCTCAGGACTCCAACCCTTAGTGGCCCCAACAATTTTATTATATTGTTCTTTGTCACAAAATATTAGCTTTGGCTTGGTTATCTCGTACATGTACTTCATAGTACCTGAACAGCAAGTGTTTTTAATTATATAGGACTTACGTACACAGAATACACTCACTTTCGTCCAATACGGGATTGATGGCGTGAAACGGAGTGCCATTAAAAAGACATGCCACAGCCAACGGCATGACATATGTAGTATTTGCAGCTGCAATTCCAATGACGCTCGTGTGGTCGAATCCTCGTTTCTTGAAGAACTGAGCTATGCGAATGGCCCACGTCAGAGCCTGTTCAAATGTTACAGTCACTCCATCAGTATCCGATATCTGTGAAGTAGTTGTTCATAAGAATATGATCCTGCTGGAGGATAACGCCATCTGATTCCCACCTGGCACACGTTCTTTGGCCAGTTCTTCATGGTATTGAAGATGATACGACCCGCAGATGTATCAGAGCTATACATGGAACTGCGAGTTGGGGCACTCCATGTTTTATCTATGCTATTCCATTTGGATTCCATTGCTGTTGAGTTGTTCGCTCTAAGCTTTCTTTCGCGACTATGCAAAGTTTTTATTCAGAAGCTTTATTTATATATATAACTGATTGGTGACAGAACCCCCAAGAAAGCGCTATCTCGTATAATTAGTCACAGAACCCCCATGAAAGCGCTATCTCGTATAATTAGTAACTATCTCTTGTCTATTATAATTATCAATTAGATGATATACTGTAAAAACCAAATTTTATCATCAGTTACTTAATGACGGTCTACTGCACATATGGCGATTTCAACTCCTGAGGAGTTAGTATACAACTGAGTGCATAAGTATAAATGTATATAATTGCGATACCAAAAGTAGTAAGCACTTTTGATACTCTACTATTGATACTCAGAGCAGCATGCCCGAGATCCATAACCAGAAACGCATATACCCCGATATATAACAGATAAAATTATATAGAATAATTTTTGAGAAATATTCATACTCCAAGACTCGATCTTGATCCACCACAATACCTTTAATTGATATGTGTAGTCATAAATTTCTGGATAATTATGCGTTTTACGAATAGTCTTACGATTACTAATCAATCAAGAAGTCTATAAATTAAAGTATGTTTTCAGCAACGTTCGCTCATTTTTTGTTATACCCTGAACCCATTGAAAATGGGAAATCAGGGTATAATGGATTTGTGAAAAAGTATGTAACGGGCAGAAGGAGGCGTGGCAGACCCCACAAAGTATATATATTCTTGATCAGCACGACGAGCTGAGTCGATATAGCCCTGTCCGTCCGTCTGTCCGTCCGTCCGTCCATAAGAGTGCATCGATCTCAGAAGACATAAAAGCTAGAGAGCTAAAATTTGTCATAACTTTTTATCGAGAATAATCGAAAAATCCACATTGTTTTTTCAGCCTAATTTGAACACTTTTAGACCTGGAGACAAAAAATTTTCGTTGTATATAAAGATATTCGGTACAAAGATTTTGTAATTTACAGATTTAAAATTTAAAAGAAAAATTTCAAGTACTAGAGACTTGTGCTTTTGAATGTACACACATATTCACCATATGATCGTATGTCTACAAAAGAAATTATTCAACAAATAAATTCTCATAATATTGCCCACATTGCAGCGCAGCCCAAGCGCAGCCGCTGCTTACTGCGCAGTTAGCAGAGCGCGTGCTTATAATTTCATGTGTATGTATGTGTTCATAAAAGAAGTCCAGAATGATTAGAATATCAGCTTAGAGGGTTCAGGGTATCTCCTAGTCGAACAGTCTCGACTGGAGCCTTCTTACTTGTTTTTTTTTTTTTTTTTTTGCAGGCATGCAATTCTTAAAAATTATTAAAAAGAGACATTGGACGCTATATACGTAAAATTTTAGATATTTATTAAAGACGAAATTCCATTATTCAGATGCGTAAATATTCCACATTCGCACTGTTCGAGTTCTCAAAGTTGAGTGGGGAGTTTTGGGTTAAGTCACCATTTCAGATAAGCCATTAGACCAGTAGATCTATCTAGTCTAAAAGAATATATTCGATTTTGGTCAATTATTTTCATATAATGCTTTCGCTTTATTCGATACGATGCATTTTTAAAGTATTCGCCAAATGTGAAATACAACTTAAATTTAGATTATTCATTCCTTATCTCAATAAAAGATTTTTGCAATCGAATTAAAACTGATTATTTTTTATTTATGTTTAGTTTCCTTTAGTTTCTGTGCCACTTAGAGATTTATATAGGTCTCGGGCTGCAATTCGAATTATCTTTCCATTGTTGTTGACGGGCAGCTTATCAACGAATCGAACACCGGCATGTAGATGTTTATGTGTGGGGACAAACCGTTTGGCCACATGATTCGAAATATCCTGTTCCGAAAGGTTGGATCCCGGTACCTTCATTACCAATGCGGCGGCCACATCGCCAAGCACATCATCAGGTATGCCCACAACACAGACATCACGCACTTGGGGCAACTCTCGGATCACATTCTCGATTTCAGTGGGCCAGTAGTGAATTCCTTGGAATTTAAGCATTGCCTTTTTGCGGTCAATAACATTTAATAAATTGTCGTCATTGAAGTAGCCCAAGTCTCCGGTATGGATCCAGCCTTTAAAATCCAGTATATGGCTTGTGGCAACGGGATTGCCATAGTAGCCGTTCCAGTGCATGCCTGTGTGCACAAGGATCTCTCCGACCTCATTGTGAGCTAGGTTTCTCCCATCCTCATCCACGATCCGTATGGTCATACCGGCCATCGGCTTGCCAGTGGCTGATGCATTCTGCACACCCACATTTAGCGTAATCACTCCAACTTCGGTCATCGCGTATGCCGAGGTAATTATCGCATTCTTGCACAATTCCTTTATGCGTTTTAACGTTGCGTCGGAAAGAATACTACCACCGTAGTTCACATTACGCAATGAAGACAGGGCGTAGGGCTTGGCTGCAGGGCTAGTGGCAAGGACGGCCAATTGAACAGGAGCCAAGGTTATATAATTGATCTTATATTTCTGCACCAAATTCACAATGTTCTCAGGGGAAAAGGGCTTATTCGATATGATGCGAGTGCTTCCGAATACCACACAGAACATGAAAGCCCATAGTCCAGATATCCAGTCTAGTCCACTCTGTAGAAAGTAAATCGTTTCACTGTTGACAAGCCTGCGAAATAAAATATTAGAATAAATGTTTTTGGGCTACAAATTATAGCAGTCAAGTCCGGTTATATATACATTTATTCCGAAAAACTCCCGTAGAAATTAGTCGGTATCGGAAGACAGGCTTTCCCATCTTCATAGTCTTAAATTAGACTTCAATTAATTGTAAAAACATCCTGTGAAAACTTCTTTTCTACTTACAAATTATCCTGCATAAACACACAGTTRGATATGCACACGGCTTTCGGCATTCCCGTTGTTCCGGATGAACAGAGGATGACCACGGTTTGATCTCCGCCAGTTTTCAGGGGTTCCGGACTGCGAATATAACTTTTGTAAGCACTATTGTTGACTCTTGACTTACACTTACCGGTAGAACTTTTCTGTAGTCGTGGGCTCCAACAGACTCTGTATGCTGGGYTTACCTTCCAAGGGTTCGCTTACTGTGTATACCTCGGGACTCCAACCCTTGGTGGCCTCGACAATTTTATTATATTGTTCTTTGTCGCAGAATATCAGCTTCGGCTTGGTTATCTCGAACATGAACTTTATAGTCTCTATATAGAAAGAAAGTTTGACTAGCAGTCAGGGATGAACGTTCATGGAATAGACGCACCTTCTTCAAAAAGAGGACTTATGGCGTGAAACGGTGTGGCATTAAATAAACATGCCACAGCCAACGGCATGACATATGTAGTATTTGCAGCTGCAATACCAATGACGCTCGTGTGGTCTAGTCCTCGTTTCTTGAAGAACTGAGCTATGCGAATGGCCCACGTGAGGGCCTGTTCACATGTCACGATCACTCCATCACTATCTGATATCTGTGAAATAGTTTTTTTTTAAATACGTTTCTTATTTAATACGATCGTCTTTTAGGAAAAGTTAATTCCAACGCACTTGCAACACTTTCTTCGGCCAATTCATCATGGTATTGAAAATGATGCGACCCGCAGAAGTATTATAGTCGTATATGGAGCTCCGAGGAGATCCACTCCACGTTTTATCTACGCTATTCCAATTGCTTTGCATTTTTGTTGAGTTAACCAGTAACTAAGATTTTTAATCGCTTCAAAGTCTCGCAACCGACTATAGAAAATTTTCATTCAATACCTTTCTTTATACCAGTTTTAAGGTAAGAGCTTTTTTATTTACTACCCACTTATTTTTCAGGTTAACTTATCAGCAAGAAATTGTAGTATACTATTCCAAACCATCAGAGGTGAGTGCTCTTTTTTTCTGATTAGCTATAATGCTATATATATATATATATATATATACATCGTTTTGCATTGTTCATTGTTTATTTATTTACTTTTTAAATTTTTGTTATCTCTAGTATCTGCTGATAGATTCTGATTATAATTTTTATAATCAGAATCTTTCTTTAATCTTAAAGTTTGCACATGTACATTGTGGTTATGAGTACGTTAGGTGTTGTACTGAAGTTCTGGCAGTTTAAGTTTTCGAGACTGTTACTACCTATGTATATGTTCAGAGAGATGGACAAAAATAGTACTAGATAGACCCAGATTGTACGCTTGATGTCATGCAACAATTTATGTTTTCTTTGGAGAATCTATATATATACATATATATATATATTAAAATCTGTATATTAAAATCGGCCAAATATTAATTTTTTATTTTATTTATTTTTTAAGGTATTGTATTGGATTTCATATAATTATTTGAAACATAACCGCGCCTTGCTTCTTTAGTTCGTTTTGGATGGATTCTCACCAATGGAAGCAAAGAGCTCGCGGACCACCTTTCGCATGACCTTGCCATTGTTATTGAAGGGCAGCCTATCAGTGAATCGAACGCCTCCATGCAGCTGCTTATTTATGGTCGGTAGACGCTTGGCCACATGATCCACGATTTCTTGTTCAGCGATGTTGCAGCCTGGTACCTTCATCACCAATGCAGCCGCTGCATCACCAAGCAATTCATCAGGGATACCCACAACACAGACGTCACGCACCTGCGGGAGCTCCTTGATCACATTCTCGATTTCAGTAGGCCAGTAGTGAATGCCCTTATACTTGAGAACTTCTTTCTTACGGTCAACTATATACAGCAAGTTCTCGTCACTGAAGTAGCCTATATCCCCGCTATGGATCCAGCCATCACTGTCCAGAATTTGGCTTGTGGCCTCGGGATTGTCATAGTAGCCATTCCAGTGCATGCCTGTGTGCACAAGGATCTCGCCGACCTCATTGTGAGCCAGGTTTTTTCCGTCGTCATCCACGATCCGTATTTTCATACCAGGCATAGGCTTGCCAGCAGCTGATGCATTCTGCACACCTAGGTTAAGGGTTATCACTCCCACTTCGGTCATCGCGTAGGCTGAGTTGAACGTCGCATTCTTGCACAATTCCCTCATGCGCTTYAGAGTCGCATCGGAAGCAATACTCCCGCCGTAGTTCATATTACGTATTGAGGACAGAGCATCGGGATTAGCAATGGGGCTAGTGGCAAGGACGGCCAA